TTGAATAGCTAGTCATGCAGGAAAGTGATGGTTGACTTACCATGATTAGTTTTTACGGTTAATGGGTCAAGTTCAATAAAATTGATCCCAATCAAATATGTTAGCAAATCACTTTCATAATTTTGTGTGTCTTATTGAATATTGTTAAAGTTGATCATATTCATAGATTTAGAAAATTGTAAAGTATAAGAAAATAAATCAACTTTAATGACCATACTTGTTTAAATTATGTTTTAGCATAAATTTTAGAAATAGGCTTACTAAATGTCTCATAGAAACATTAAAATATGACTTTCTTCATTTAAATAGTTACATCTTAAATCTAAGGTTATCACTCATATCTGTAGACATTCATCATACGCTGATTTATTTAAATGATCTTATTCCAATATTTTCTAGCTGATATCATTTCACGATATGAATTGTCATTTACTGGTTGAAATCATGAGTCAATTGAAGCTAGACCACTATGGAAAACTTAGAAGCACTGGACGGCCGTCTCGTCCTGTTGTGGGACTCCTAGGCAGTGCGCATCCACGACCACGCACCCTGCGAGATTCGAACCCAAGACCTATCGGTCTCGCGCCAGGCGCTTAACCAAATAGACCACTGGGCCGGAGTCCAACGGTGTTAATGTCTAACTTCAACCAATCCACGAAGTTGAGCCACCGTACACCATTGTCATCAGTGAGCTGATATCTCACAACAGACCTGGTTGAACTCCACTGGTAATGGCTGTCCAATGCTTTCAGGTTTTCCATGGTGGTCTAGCTTCAATTGACTCATGATTCCAATCAGTGAAAATTTCTAAAATCTCCACAAAACCCGCTTCTAAATTGTCATTCAACCAAACAAATGAATTTGTCCGGTAAATTTATAACTTCACTTATTGACTTTCTATTTAAATAAAACTATCAATATGCATAAATGTTTTACATATCTTCAAACTACCATTCAATGTTTATTTTTAATCTTAAATAACAATTTCTTATGGGGAAAAAAAGATCAGTTATGTAATAACCAGTAATCAGTCAGTGAATTGTACATATTATTTTTATGATGACTAATGAACCATGAATATTCATGGTTTGATGACAGACTATAACGTTTTGACTTTCTACCTCCAATAATTAATTATAGTTTGTTATATGTGATTATCTTGCTCAATTGAAGCATTCGTCTGATTGTGTGTTGTTCATTAATCTATTATTTATGAAAAACAATCAGTCATAACTCTAAACAGTGATTGGAAAGTACCTATAAATTTCTGCTTGAATACTTTGTCAAGAAAAACCTCAAAAAATAACTTTAATCAGTTGAAATACAAGTTTATTAGGTATAAAAACGCAGGTAAATACAAATTTAGATTATTTATCTAAAAGTATTAAGTAGCTCAGCGTTTATTAAAGATTTATACAGTAACATATTTCATTGAAGAAAATAACATAAGCCATGTAAGCATTTTAAGCAGAATTGGACGGGAACTAGCAGCTGAATCAAATAATTAATACAAATGAATTAAAACATATTCCGATTGGTGAGTGGCTATCTGAACTCAGTACGTCGAGAGATGACGCGTTTGATTTTCAATGTGAAAGGTACTGTGCTCAAGTTCCAGTGTGAACATTAACATTAGGTTGAGTAGTCCCAAATAGGACGAAATGTGCGTCCTAAATTTCACTTATTCTAACTTAACTCGCACCTTAATGGCTGCATAATGGCAATCTTCATATTCCAACCAAGATTAATCAAATTCCACTCAAAATATTAATAACGGGATGATCTAAACCGTTTCAAAATGAATTAAATCTTATACCCATCCCACATAAGAGTGACTGTTCGGACTCAGTAGCTAAGTGAATAACGCGATGGTGGTTGAAACAAACAGTACTAGGTTGGACTCTCTGAGTGTACACCCACTCTGGATTCCAAGTACATCCTGCCTACGATTCTTACATTGGACGAAACGTGCGCTCTGGGTCTTATAACAAGACACCATCCAACTCCGCTTAAAATGCTTATAGCTTGATGGTAGTATTGAAACAATGTTTACAAGATGTACATAACTAGAAAGAAACCTATCAATCGCGGTCCATAATATCAACGGGAAGATTCAAACGACCAATGCAAATGAACTTCACGAGATTTTGTATATAGCAATGGAAGCAAAGAAATGATCTACCAAGTGGCTTAATTTGTATTTCTTCTTCATAAGTTACTGATGGTCACTGAGTGTCAGAAGGCAGAATAAGTTACGTATTGATGATAAAGCCAACTTTAACCAATATTTATTGATCAGTGAAATTCAATTTGTTTGTCCACTTTCGAAAACAATTGATTTTAAGTTAAAACATGAAAATAAAATACATGGAATAAATTTGTAGTATTAAGGGGTGTTTCAAAGACATTTATACAATTTCCACTTAGGTCTGAATACAGTTACTCGATCGATGAAAGTCAGAAAATACCGTATAGTTGTTTCAACATAGGTTTTCTCAAAAGTGTTCATCGATGACTTCTTATGAGTTAGAACGCAGAACCTTCAGGTTTTGAGTCGATGACTATAAGGTATGCTTACTGAGCTGTAACCCAGTGTTCAGTATTTTAAGTTAAATCAATCCATTATCTACAACCATTCTGGATAATCTATTCTGACTTCTGATTTAGATCTGGAGTCCCCCTTATAAAGTTATCTTGTCCAAAGCATGTCCTGTTAATATGTGTTTAAATTTTATATGCAGAAGTATATGCTCACTCCTGTAATGTTCTACACCATGATAAACGACTGTTCTGTGGATTTTTGCTTTGTACTTGTTTCGTAACCCATGGGAGTTTATTAATTTCTCAACTTTCAAAATGTACTGTAGACAGTCATTATGTTATTTAACATGAACTTCAAATAACAAATTTCAAGTAGTCGATTATATCAGATTGAACTAGTATAACTGTATTTGTTGACCACTGTGGATTTTATCTTTATCAATAAATAAAACTTTGAGGTGGGACTATAACTTATGGATGACCTTTGGGTGATGATTAAGTGACCTTGAAAATGACCATCCACTTACTAGGGTTAAATGAGGGTTAAAATTTAAAGTGAAGAACTAAGACTTGGATTTACATTTGGACGCTAGAGTAAGCGATTAAAACTAAGGTTTTCATCATGAATTGGCATCATCTATAATGCAGAAATGTTATGTTGATTCTTATAAACTATCAGATAAGCAGAACGTTATCATGTATTGATTGTGAAAGAAATCATATTAGTTAGCTAACTAGCAAATGTAAATAAATAAGTTATATTACTAGTGTATGTATCAGACACTTCTCGGTTTAAGGCAAAGCGAATTAGCGTGATGTCATTAAAAAGACGTAATAATGTACAAAACGATGTCATGCTAACGTTTTAGGAAAAAGTCAACAACCAGTCGCATTTTATTGGGGATAATTAAAGTCAGAGGAACGACAGAAATACAGAACGTCCACAAAGACCTGATAACACCCTGAAATTTCACAGTTTCTGTCAGCTGAAGTATAAGGTTGCATGAGATTCCACATATATTCCGATTTTCCAACATAACAAGAAATTAAACACTCACCAATTGCTGAGACTACTTCCGAAGTGTTCTTGGTATCTGTGTGGTTGTACCGCAGAATTTTAAGCTATGTTGTTGAGGTTGTGAATTGTATGTATAACTTCTGGTTCTCTTGAGAACCAGTGTAAAATTATAGTCACGATATATTTATAATTTTAATTGTATTTCCGGAAAGTAATTTATTTTATCTCTACGAGATTTTCTAGAAAATTTATTTCCTAATCACAATTCTGACTATCAACATATTCTGTTCGATCGATACAATTCAACTTGCTATACAATACATGTTACTATAACTTTATGAAAAATGACAGAACATATGCTTCCAATTAACCTCAGTATATCTTAACTACAGTTTTCACTGTTGTTACACAACTCATACACTTTTCAATCTAAGTTCACTAAATATATACTTTAGTTCCGAACAATTCTACTCATTCATCTTTACCTTAACTGTGAAATTTCAAAAGAAATGAAAATTTCACTATCTAATCATTTAAATTCTCCAATAGTACCATTTGTATTGTCGGTTATTATGTTAAGCCCATATAACTCATTCTAGCTTTCAAATAAGCCAATCTATTCATTCTAATTGAGTCATATTTTGACCTTATTAATTATTCGCTCATCAATCTTGACTGTTTTTATATGAGCGCATATCTATGTGTACACTACTTATCCTACTCACCACATGTCTGTAGCTTATTTTTGTGTGACTATAAATATCGAATAATCCTTGATTAAATGGAGTTGGCTCACACGCCATCTCCATTGCAAATCATTTCGCTTTGCTCTCTTTTATTCGCTTCATCCCTCTTGTTGTATCCAGACAGGAATAAATGAATGGTAATTTTTAGGATCCATTTATGAACCAATATTATGAGTATATTTTTATCGTATAATTGTTATGGAAATAAACTGTTCATATTCATGTCGCTCTTATTATGAGCTTTATTTTGACCTATGAACTATTATTATACGATTTACCATTCATGAACTATTTCCTGTCTGTTAATCGCTACCTCCCTCATTCACAGCCACATCTGGCTAATTCTTGTACAAATGTTGTTTCATATTTTATTGCTACGTTGTGGTCGGTTTGTTTGGTATATAAACTCAGTATGCTTGAAATATAATGATTAGTATCTCAGAGGCTGAAACTTGCGTTCTGGACTCAACTGGCTGGGCTAGACAGGGAAGCAGGGCCAATCGGGACTCTAGGTCGTTCTTACGTGTTTTACGCGTCTTTGGTCCGATCGATAATTCGCTGCCGTCTAATCTGCAGTCACAGTTACAACACATCTGATTTCCTGTCCAGATCAGTGAGTGTACAAAATATACGTATTCAACCATCCATTCTCATATTTGACTTATTGAATTCGATTATTCACTAATGCGATTTAAGTTGATAATTACATATGAGGATTGGTAGCATGTACATTTCGATAGCAATCAGCAAACGATGAGTATATACAATAAATGACAACATGTGTACTTCAATAACAAACATTCATACGATACTATAAAAGTGAGATTTCAGGCCACTAAACATTAATTAAGAAGAATTTCTTTAACTTTATAATCATTTCCATTATTAATTTGAATCAACATGAAAATAATTTATGCATACATGGTTATTACATAACTCTATTATACAATGATAAACAGTAATAATTACATGAGATTTAAATGATTCTTGTAAAATTCACCATGAAAAATCTTCACAAAAAAAAGGAAAAATAACCCAGTTCATTCATACTTTCTTAAAATAAAGTAATTCAGTTTGTTTACTATGATTTCTATTGAATATAGTTTGTTAAGATTAAATACTGTATACCAAAAGAAGAAGAAGAAGAAGAAAGAAAAGAGATCCTTTTTTGTAAACAGAATCTTTGTAAAATGCTTCTTTTCTTTTTCTTTTTTTTCTTTTGATTATTCAATACACAAAAACTGTTACATAAATATGATTGGGTGTTTCCAAAGAAACGATTCTTCATCGTTTGTTTCATGAATTTCGTTTTGTGTAATAAAAATATTACAAATATTAACTTTTTCTCATTTCTGTATACACATAATACTGATTGAATTATACATTCGAAAAGTTTTTTTTGTCTGACGATAATAATAATAAAAAGCAAACAACATGAGATTTAATTTGGCTTAAGACAACTGAACGATTATGATTTATGAATAGTGAAGTTTCAAAGTTCAATAGAATGATGATATCATTTTGGCTGAACATGGTTTTTATTTGATACAGATCTTTGGGAAATGATTATTTGCAGTACTATCGTTATTATTAACATTATTATTACTATTATTATTATTGGTAGTAGTTGATATGGCAGTATTCGATTGTAAATGATCAATTTTTGGCTCAGTTATACTTGTATTAATAGGATTTGGGAAAGTATTTCGTAATTCAACAATTTGTCCTTCTAAATTATCTAATCGTTTAACAATTTCATTTATTTGTTGACTAAGTTTTATATGAAAATTATCGAAACACTTCTCAATGTTTAATTCAATTCTATGCAAATCGTGACATGGTATATTTGGTGTCAGATTAGTAGAATTCATTGCAGACATTGTTGTTATTGTATTTAATGATGTTGTATATGATATCAGTGTTTGTGTCGAAACGATTATGGGATTTGGATCCGTAGTTAGTGGTACAACTGTGGTAACTGGTGTAGATGTAAAGTTTTGATCATCTAAAGATTTTGTTGGTAGCTGAATTTTTGACAAATTTTTTACTTGTGTTGGCGGTAAACGGTTTGAATCTTCATTTGCTTCTTCATTTAAATTGTGTAATGGTGGTTGTGTTGCTCTATTAATAAAGAATAAAAATTGACAAGACATTTATTGATAGATAGATTCTATTTAGGATCATGGTGAGCATTACTCACGAGCTGCTAGCAAAGATAAAACATCTATCTAGTGTATCTCGGTTTCATGTGTCGGCACTGAGTAATGCAGTTCAGATTTTCATTCTGTAGTTCGTTTGTTTACTTTAAATATTACATACAATATAAAATAAAATTAAAAGTCGAAGCATGTTTGAAAAGGGAAGTGAGTAGTGTAATGTGAAGATGAAGAATAATCATAGATTGCTAGTAAGTTAATAACCAAAAAATCTGTTTATGTATAATGGTTGAGAGTGAGGTGACAGATTTTCGATAATTCTGTGAAAAGGAAAACTTGTATGTTTATTTCATTTAGAAGACAGTGCAGACGTCACTGAATGGAATTCTAACCACCATCAAGTAACTGACTAGTAGACTAGCGTTTTTGAACGTCAAAATCACTCAGGCAGCAGTACTTGCATGTATAAGACAGCTGGTTTCATGGATACACATGATGACTGTACTGATAAGCAGCACCACATCTCATAGTGTTAAATTCTGTTGTGCGTTCAGATGGTTTCTTAGTTAGAGCCTATGGGTTTTCCTAGCCAGTAGGAACTAAAAAAGATCATTTGTTCAAGGCAGACCCTGAGAATTTTAGCTATACCATATATGACGATTTATCAGGCAATATCATGAAAGGGTGATATAGTTATAATAGGTCAACAAGAACTCAGTAACTTCACATTATCATTAGTAGAAGAATATGTATCTAAAACATTACGCTTTAAAGATTCAATTTAAGTTAATATTGCCGTAGAGAAAATTCATTCACAAATGAGTTGAAATTTTTTTTCCAATGTGTTGTTAAATTACTACTCAGTTAGTCTAATTAGTTCACACGGGTGATCAACGACAGAATCATAAATGAGTATCCTTTCAAGCAATATATTACATATCGAACAGACTTATATTCATTTCGTACAATATTGTTGGTCAAAATCTTCATTCTAATCGAGAACTAAAATGTCTAAAATACGTTTCATGAAGTAACATTTTTTTCTTAACTCATTATTAGTGACTTTTTAAAATATCGGTAGATAATGAACCTACCGGAGTTCCAGTAGTTTAGAGTCACATTTTTTGCATAATAAGAATATATTCTTCAATTCTTCACCAGAATTTCCATCATACTAGCACGTGTTTACATTCCTTATAGTCTTCTAATGTCTAACATTAGATTAAATAAAACCTGCACAGTGAAAAATGTTCATGCAGATGGTAATGATATTTAGTGTTATTCATGGAATTACGATGAAACATCCATTGAATTACGTATAAACTTTTTTTCAGTAGAACTGTTTCTTATAATTCATGAATTCAAAGATATTATCGAATTTTTCTACTTGCATAGGTTTGGCCATTTTATCGATTATTTTAATGGCTTAATCCTTCCTATTTTCGTTAAATTACATCTGATTTTAAAAAAAATATATTGCTTATTTATAAGATTTATAACACCTGAGGTATTTTTTTATCCAACCCGTGAAACATCTTGTTCGTCAAGATACAATGAAGAAAGAAACTGATGTTAATGTTTTGCAGTATTATTCTTACTTCTGGTGTAATAATTCTTCAATGAGCTACATTTGTTTTGTTATAACGATCTTCAATACATTTTTATGCCAGTTACCCCTCGTTGAGGAGCATAGGCCGCCCACCATCGATCTTCAATACCAATAAAATTTAAATGTTTGATGACTCAATATAATGCCTAATAAAAACAGGAATGGTGTGAACACGTAGTGAGAATTTAAGCTTGTCAATACTTGTTGCATTTCCCTTACTCAATGGTCTGAAAAATGTGATTAAGAAGCTTGATTTCTGACTCCATAAGTATATAAAACTATGCCAAATATTTCAGTTACAAAAGTAACTGTAAGCGTTAACTTATAAATGTTATCGGAAGGATAAAGTTAACGGCATTATTAACGACTAGATTCACATTGGAAGTCAACGAAATCTGCGCGTCAGTCAGGTACATTTGTTAATTTGAAAGACAAATTTTTAAAAGTTATTTGCTGGTGCTTATAACCATCAGAACAGTTCTATAGATCAAAATAAATATTTACGGATGATAAAAGTGTAGAATACCACGACAGATATTACCAAACTACAGACGGTTTTAGAAACACATTGAATATAATGGCTATCATGAATGCATGAATCCCAAAAGGCTAAATTCACAAGACGCTTCTGGCATGAAATAAATGTTTCTCCCTGTGTAACCGTACAGGTAAAAAATTTGTTTGTCATAATGATTTGTTGATAGTTGATGTTTAGGAACTTAGAAGTAATATAGATTTATTAGGTCAATCAATATATATAATAACAGTTGTCTAGAGACTGTCTTTTTTTCGTTAGCTAGTGATCCACTGTAGTTGACATAGTGTCTCCTAGATATCTTATTTCTGGAGCAAATTAGTTAAACCGATGAAGATAACATATTGATGAACTAATTCATCACTTAAGATATTAATTTGGTAACCGTTAGAATCCCATATTGTAAATTATAACATCACATATAAACGAACAACATTATTTTTTATTATAATATTGTTCACTTATATATTGTTTTAATTCTCTATTTCAATCATTTCGGTTTTGATCATTAAAAGCCCAACAAACTGATAATAAATCTTCTTCAATTCTTTAATAATACTGTAAAAATATCAAACAGTACAGGGGCGACGATTAAACACAACGTACCTAAACTCCTAACATTTGTTAGTTTAATTAAGAGAGTGTAATACTGAAAACATTTAATGCAATCATATTCTAAACTTTATAGGTGTCAACAGATTTTAGGATTTCTTGGAGTATACTATCATAATGAACATTAACAGATAGCATCCATAATACCTGTTGATTGGCTTAACTGGTGGCTCCGATACTGGGATACTTTTATCTGTCATTACCTTGATATATGCCAATATAATAGATGTCAATAAACTTTAATAATATGTAGTATAATTTTAACCCGAAATATGATTTCACCTATCAGTAAGTGAAACATTCATCGAAATATGAGACAATAAATAATTCGTAATACCTATGAGTAGAAATTTCTGTTTTGAATCCATCAGTTCACCTGCTTTGTGGTAGTGACTATTAGGAAGAAATCTACCGAACATTTTGTAACCTTTAAAGCGGTACATTATGTAGCTACTTATATTTTCAAACCTCTACTAACATTAATGAACGTAAAGCTAAAATCTAGTTTGAAAGCCTCATTCGACAGACAAATGACCTTATTCCAGTATCTAATAAAGATTTTGAGCATTTCAAAACAACTCTTGTGGATTATTGCAATCAATATGTAAATAAAACACCTACAATTAGCCGATTACTCACAAAAGAACATAAATCTCAATTATCTGGTCTTCGGAGAAATCGGGACTTAGTGTTATGTCGCCCAGACAAGGGTGCAGGAATTGTCCTTATGGATCATCTTGACTATGTTACCAAAATATCTTCGATATTATCTGATCCTGTCAAATTCTCTACTGAGACCGTTCAAAAAGACACAACTGAAAAAACTGAACAGATGCTAATTAAAACATTAAAGAAAATGAAAGATGAGGCTATTATCAATTGTGACCTCTATGAACACCTCAAACCATCGGGTTCCGTTATACCAAGACTATATGGACTCCCAAAAGTTCATAAGAATAATGTCTCACTACGTCCTATACTTGATATGAACAATTCTCCTTATCACTTGATCGCTAAGTGGCTAGTTGACATTCTACAACCTGTTAAAAATCATATCAACAAATACAATTCTCTTGATTCCTTGACTTTGTCGACTCAATTAGAAATATCAACGTAACCGATAAGAAAATGTTCTCCTTAGATGTCACTTCTCTTTTTACAAATGTTCTCCTCACAGAAACCATTTGCTTTTTATGTGACTATATTGAAAACAATAATCTTGAGATGTGTATCCCGAAACATTACCTTAAAGAACTACTTCTACGATGTACGCTCAACGTGCAATTTAGATTTATCGATGTTTTCTATAGACAAATAGATGGAGTTGCAATGGGCTCTCCATTGGGTCCTCTCCTGGCTGATTGTTTTATGGCTAATCTAGAAAATTCGGTACTTCAACCAATAATTGAGAGATTTCATTTATATAAGAGATATATGGATGACACTTTCGTTATTTGCGAAGAAGATAGTGACCTCAATGATATCCTGAATATTTTCAATAACTGTCACCCATCAATCCAATTCACCTTAGAAGCAGAGACAAACCATGAATTTCATTTTCTTGATATCCGTTTAAAAGGACTGCCTGATGGTTTTTTACAGATATCGATATATAGAAAACCTACTTGGAATGGACAATACACGAACTTCCATAGTTGGGTCCCATTAGGAACTTAATTCATTCTTTATCTTCGAGGATCAAGCGAATTTGTTCCAATGATACAATAGATGGGGAACTATTTTATCTTCGACAGATCCTCATCAAAAATGGTTATCCACCGAGATTCATTGATAGAAACTTGGCACCCAGACTTCATGATAAAGCATCGACAGTAGAGGAGAAAACTCTTTTTATGAATATGGAATTTAAAGGAGACACAGCTGCTGAAATCCTGAATAAACGGATTTTGAAATCATTGAATAAAGCATTCCACGTAGCTAAGCTCCGAATCATTTTTTCTAGCCGACCTACCATTCTGGGGTGTGTTAAGGACAAACTTTCGCTTTGGGCCACTTCAGTGTGTATATGTAAATTTACTTGCTCATGTGGGGCATGTTACATAGGTCGAACAAAGCGATCATTATCCAAACGCATCTCGGAACATTATCCGGCTTGGCTCTTGAAAGGGGAGCGAAAAACAATCACGAGTTCTATACAGGAGCACTTAATCAACTATGGACATATCGCTCCAAAAGACTCTTCGTTTAAAATAATTTACAGAGTCAAAGGAACTGGATCGAAGGGGGTTCGAATCAATATTTTATGCACTGCAGAGGCATTGGCAATCCACAAACTCAAGCCTAGACTTTGCGTGCAGAAACGACTTGTCCAACCTCTCATCCTTCCTTGGCCCTAATTCCCTTAATGGGTATGTTTCTGTTTGTTTTTTTCTGCACTTTTATTTAATTATTATCGATATTTTTTAATTACTATTTTGCACTTTAAACTCTAATCATTTATTATTACTGTATACAAGTTTTTTTATTGTCATTCAGATTATTATTATGACCTTTGTTGTTTGCCGTTTATCTTCCGATCTGTCAATTGGACTATTATATATGACCCATAAATTCTGTTCTCCCTTACTCCTTGATTAGTACGTTAACCTCATTTGTTATTTATTCTCGAATCCATTTTTGTGATGCAATCCTTTCTATCCCTCTATAGACATATATTTCCCATATAACTATATATACGAATGTACAGCTTAAGTAAATGATTTCGTCGAAAAGAAAATTTTCTTAGCTGATTTCTCTTTTTCTTGTTTTAAGACTATTTATGATCATATAAAAACTGTTTTTTAAGTGGTTATTTCCGTCTATATTACAACTTATAATTGAGCCTGGAGAAATTCTTATGTTATTCAACTTACTTAGAAATAAGACGGGCCCATTTTCTAGCAGGATTTTGACCCTTCAATGAATTGGCTGTAACAACAACAGGAGGTTCCGATTGTAGTTGTGAATCAACAGAATTCTTAGGAGTTATTTTAACAGGACTCGATATCGGAGTTGTAATTTTAGGATCATTACTTTGATATATGTGAGTATCATTGCTTGGGAGTGGAGATTTACAAACGGAGCCTGGTTTTTCAGCAGTGCTGTTGACCAACACATCAGAAATACTTGAATTTTCAAATTCTGAACCATCTAATGATGTATTATATGAAACTATTGTACCTAAATACTGCCTTGAAGATAAATCTCCAACTTGACTTGATCGACGAAATCTAGAGATTAATTTTCTCACTGGATGATTTGCTGGCAATGAACTCAGTGGTGGTTCTTTATTTCTTCTCATTGAAAGTTCCATTTCACGTCTTACGTCAGACAACTTTCGAAATATCACCTAACATAAACAGAATAAAATTACATTTCGTAATTAGCTGTTCTTTTACAAAAGCGAATATCATTTAATTATAGAAAGCCGAAGTAGAAATAGCAGGTTTATTGTTTATGTCTGAGACTCCTGCACATAACCGTAAAAAAGGTTAAACCTAGGAATTTTGTGATCTTCCAATGAACACGACAATAAAAAACCCACTGAGTTACATTCGAATTATCTATGGGTTTAACCCCAATTAACTTGTTATTCACATAACAATCGTTCATTATCATTGATTAGTAACTGGATTATCAGCATGACAGATTTCTTGTATTTCAAAAATGGTTTCAAAGTTAGTCATTTGTAAATATGAAATTATCAGATAATCAGATGATTTACACAAAGCTAGGATTTAGAAATATGTAACATCAGATGTAGTTACTGAAAAGTATTTGGCTAACTATTCAACTTGAATTGTGGTGACTTCATTTCAACCATAACATTAAAAATGCAATATATTGTACACTGCTTTTTGTTTTCATTAGGCCTCACAATAGATACACAATAGACATTGTTAGTTGAAATGCTTTCGTTGTTTAATAATTAATTAATGAGAATAGATATAAACACTAAGAAAAATAATTAACGGTAATCATTGCAATCCCATATGAAAGACGTATTATTGATAACAACTATATGAATATTTCATAGTATATATTAGAGAAAATCTCCAAGAAATCATCTATTCAAATAATGAAACATTACTGTCTTAAACTCAAATAATGATAAATTGAAAGGAACAATGTACACTATAATCGAAACTATTGATATAGAACATCAGTCGACGTGTATTTTTTATGATTTTTAATCATTTCAAGTGCATTTTATAGTAGTCGTATTTCATTACTGACTTACTTATGCCTGTTACTCCCAATGGAGCATAGGCTGCAGACCTGCATTCTCAAACCCACTCTATCCTGAGCCAACCTTTCTAGTTCTGCCCAATCGTCGTTCTTTCTTCTCATGTCTGTCTCCATTTCTCGGTGTAATGTGTTCTTTGGTGTCCCTCTCTTCCTTGTGACGCAGTTGGGTACTTTCCTCAATGTGTACCCTATCCACTTCTAGTGCTTCTTCCTGATTTCTTCCTCTGCTGGGATCTGGTTTGTTCTCTCCCATCATATTAGGTTGTTGCTGATAATGTCTGGCTGACGGATCCGAAATATTTTGCGTAGACAGCTGTTGTATCTTCTGGATGATGGCGTTCGCAGTTCTCCAGGTTTCCGCCCCATACAGTAGAACTGTCTTGACATTTGTATTGAAAATTCTGACCTTGGTTTTGGTTGACAGTTGTTTTGAGTTCCAGATGTTCTTCAGTTGTAGATATGCTGCTATTGCTTTGCCGATCCGCGTCTTCACATCTGCATCAGATCCTCTGTGTTCATCAGTGATGCTGCCCAAATATGTAAATGTTTTTACATCTTCCAAATCTTCTCCGTCAATTGTGATTCGATTGTTGCTTGCTGTGTTGTATCAGAGAATCTTGCTTCTCCCTTTGTGCATATTGAGACCTATTGCTGCTGAGGCTGCTGCTACACTGGTCGTTTTCTTCTGTGCGATAGAAGAGCCTCTTATTTCATTAACCTGGAACATTTGTCTAATCCAGCCTACAAGTACATTATGATGAATTTGAACGACGAGTTCATATTAACCTAGTATGAAATCAATATAATGCTGAAAACCAATAAGACAATTTAACATGTTATTATAATTCACTTACCACTTTTGTGCGTATTCATATAATTAATTATGAGCCGTACATTGTATAAATAATCATTCTCTTTGCCCTCTGGTTTGATCTACTAACTAACAGCTTGAAACTTAATATTACCTAACACTTCATGTTTCAACTTCTATTTTTACAAGGTTAATATTTGTCACGACAAAGATAGATAATTTAAATGACTTGTAATGGCTTTTTGTTTATAACTACTATTTCACATTATACAAATTATTCCAAGCAATTACTTTAGTCATACTTATTCGAAATAATGTACATAAAATGATGAAGCAAAATCACCTTTTTCAAAACAACAAATATATATTTTAAAAAAGCATTAGTCAAATTTCTCACCAAAGAATAAAATATACGTTTCCAGGATTATAAACTAACATTACACTTACTCTATTGCATAAATTGTAAGTTAACTCTAAATTTCTTGTAAAACTATTTGCGAATGCATGATAGAAGTTTAAAACAACTCGTAGACGATCCAATCTTATTGTATGCAACGTACAATAAGTCAGCGCTCGAACGCTAGCTGCTGCCGGTACTGACACTGTATTCTTCCATAATGGGTCACCAAAAACATCACCTTTCCCTTAAAAATAGGAAATAATAATACAGGAACTATGATATGGCGACAAGAGATTGATCAATCGCAGTCCTAAACAACAAGTAAACAACACCAAGTGAATTTAAACTTCACCCAATGCACAAGCAGGTGACTGTCAGGACTCAGTGGCTAAATGGTTTACACGAGGGCGTTTGAAGCGAACATTACTGGGCTTTAGTACTGGAGTGAACATCGACTCTGAGATGCAGGTACATCTAGTCAATGAGTCCCAAATAGGACAAAACGCGCATCCTAGATTCCACTGCTAGCCACTATCCATCTTTGCTTATAATGCTTGTGAATTAGGGCAATATCAAGGCAATCCACAAGGGTGCACATATGCCAACAAGGAACTGATCAATTACAGTCCTAAAAAACAATGGGAAGATACAAGCAAACAACAAACAAACAAAAACAAGTGAATTTGGAATTATGATATGTTTAAAATTATCTGAAGTTGCATAAAAACCTATGATAAGTCAAGGATGACAAAACATGAATTGTTTTGATGGTTTGATGAACGTTGAAACCAGTTCAGAAAATCTATTTCTGAATACTTACAAGTGATCATTAGGAAAAATGACGTTTGAATATTAAGTGGAATCAATAATTTTCAGAAGATCTTCTTAGTGAAGATACAAAATACCACTCAATTTGCAATTCATCATTTGTATTTATTAGGTTGTAACTCTGTTGAAATAATGAATATTCAGAGAAATGAATATGCTCCTTAACTAACAATGTTGATTAGTTTTAGTAGATATTTGAAAATGTTTGAAAATAGGATATTGTTTTACGCTAATTTATTGATAGGTCTGTATTTCACAAAGTGATTTTTCTACGTACTATGCTATAATCAAATAAAATATTGCTGAAACTCGTGAATTGTTTCCACCAGTTTATATACAACTTTGATTAGAATGACTGTAATCCTTGTTCTAGAGATACTCACTGACAAGTTAATGCAATATTAACCCATTGAAAGTCATAAGCATTTTTTCAGCGAGTTAGTATTCTACGGGATGGAGTCGCTGACCCTATGCCCAACCATCCTCCTTTATTCGGGTTTGGGACCGGTAGCAGCCCCTGGAGGGACTCCAGGTGGAGTTATTGAAAGTCATAACTATTGTTAAATATTCAAAGCTTTTGTGATAAGAGCAAAAATTAGCTTATGATTGTTTTAGCTTCAAACTAAAACACGTCACAATATTTCCCAGTTGTAACAGTTTTTCGATTAGTATACTATATTTAGGCTCTACCTGAGATGACAGATGAAATTGAATTTTTTTTAGAATATTTGTTCATTATCTGACAAATTATATGGTGTTTGTTAAACGTTTTAAATGGCAATATATGATGTCTTTAATCCTGTGATATAGTCAGTCACTTGACTAGGGAATCTATCCTTTAGCAACCAATTATTTGTGATTTTGAAATCATTTACTCAGGTAGGTTAGATTTTCTCCTATTCTAGTCATTACCTTCGTTTGTCAGTCATTTAGTCTTCCATAGCAAACTAATAACTCCACCAAAGCTAGAATTTTAATTATTCAACACAGAAGTTAATAATTTATGTCTACTTAATACAAAAATAATGAATAAACAATTTTGTGTTTAATTGAAAACAATTTAAAACTAACATTCTACTCAATGAATACACAGACAATACGGTTTTCTATCAACATTTTAATAAGGAACTAAAGTAACCCTACCATATTGTAAAGTGACTTTACCACAGTAGTCTTTACATTCCACTCAACATAATACTTTCATTTCATTAATATAACAGAAATTATGAAAATATTTTTATTGTATAAATACTGGATCAATCTATCAGAAGAGAATTCTACAGCAGTCGTTTATTACTTTAAGCACTCAACTTCCCAAAAGGACTATAGTAAGATAATTCTACTTCTTTTCTTGTTTGGATATTATCTAGACAATACGACTAGGTATGACATACAATGTAGTTAAAGGTCGATTACATTATTCCATGTTTGGTAAATTATATATACTATCACTAGCTAATATCAGTGAGCAAGTATACTGTTTTGCAGATCCCTTTACATGTAATATGATTACTCTACTATTATTTTATATATCGTAACTACTTTTGTTAATGTGATTATTGTTTAGGATATACAATCTCAAATTACGAGTAATAAAAAGATAGTCAGCACTAATTAATTTGGAATTCTGTTACCGTGACTTATTCAATGTGGACAATATTCACGGAATTTGAATACATTTTTTAATGATATTTTAAGTCAGTGACAATTACCAACTTTAAATATTCCAAATATTATGTTCATTGATATGTATTCACTAAACTTAAAGTATTTTGATTGGTTGCACTGGGTCTAAAGCAAATACGTTTATCAAAAGAAAACTGGTGTTTTTACTCTAGTTAGCAAGGCGAGAAAAGAACAGGATAAAATAGTTTCATTCACAGTATTGAAGTTGGAGTAGTGTGAAGTATTATCAGAGATAATGAACGTATCAATTAGTATAATTGTACACGATTCTGAATGAAACAGATATGTTACATTTAGTAGATAGTGAAATGTTAGTGAAAATAATGCCTGTAACAAAAAAACATTATATAGTGTTACAGTTTATACTGTTGTGTTAAAAACATTTAAAGTCTGAATGGGTTTGATGGAAAAATTTAAATAATTTATTTGTTAGTCTAAACAATTCAGTCATCGGTTTAAAGAATAAGGATTTGGCGGACTTGATTTCTTAATGCACAGAATAAGGTACTTCTTTTATCATGGACCAGAGCAGCAATGAAAACCTGGAAGCATTTGATTTTTTGGGATTAATCAGTGATGAACGTTCTCAATTTCCAAAATTTGGTGTCGGCATTCGATGTTTAGTTGGGTTTTTTTAACCAATCTGCCATGAGAGAGAACAAACCAAATTTCAAATGAAGAGGAAATTAGGAAAAGATGTTGGAGATGGACAGGACATGTATGGTGGAAATCATCACACGGCATCACGGGAGAAGCGTTAACTTGGAATCCTGAAAGAAAACGGAAAAGAGGAAGGCCGAAGAACACACTACGTCGAGAATTGGAAGCAGACATGGAAAAGATGAATAGCAACTAAACAGAGCTGGAAAGGATTGCCCAGGACAAGGTTGGATGTAGAATACTGTTGGGAAGCCTATGATCCTACACGAAGGGTAACAGGAGTAAGCAAGTAAGTATGCTAATGTTTGATTCATGGATTATAATTTCATATCCCTAATATTTGGATTTCATTTGATATATATAATATAATGTGGCCGTTACCCAGGGTCATCACCATCATTTATCACTGGTGATGTTTAGGTCTCTACAGAATATGCTTTTACACTAAAAATTACATTGACTCCAAAATTATTTCATAACAATCACAGAATTATTTTTACTCAAAAAAAATATGAAAAGATACCGCATAATTCTTACCGAGTATCGCTATCACTTCATCATCTTGCAATACTTCTAAAGTACCACTTGCTATAAAACATAATTGATCAACGCTTTCACCTTGATGACAGATTAAATCACCTGGTGCTGTATGCAATGTTTGAAAGTTAACAGCTAATGAACGTCGACAACCATCACTTGCTAAACGAAATGCAGCATGACTATTGAATACACAACGATTTAAATGAACAGAAATATCTGCTTGCATATCTTTTGGACAATAGTTTAATACCTTAAAATAATCAAAATGTAAATATATTAATCTAATGTAATGTATATTTGAACATTAGAATAAATGATTGATTTCAGTAGAAGGTATAGTATGTTGTCAGTGTAATGATGAAGATACAATTATCAGATGAATAGATATATGAAAACTAATACAAAGCACAATGTGTATCTTCAGCTTATTTAGACGTTTTTTTAACAGAAAATATTGATATTGAAATGAATAAAACTTTCCTATAGATTTGAATCTTTTTTATGTTTGCAACACTAATCTTCAATGGTCCCTTAGTACTTATTGCTTAGATGAATCTACGTATAATTGATTATCTATTTCTAGTTGATCAATTTATAATATCTCCTAGTTAAATGATATTTTTATCAGCCAAATATTAGTAGCTCAGTATTTTGAAAAATGTCTTAACTAACATCTACTTTTCTTAAGGAGACAAGAAGCTGTCCCAATTGCAAACTGATATATTTCTATCAGATGGGTTTTGCGGATATTATAGTAATTTCAATGGTTAAGATCATGAGTCAGTTGAAACTAGATCACCATGGAAAACCTGGAAGCACTGGAAGGCCGTTTCGTCCTATTGTGGGACTCCTCAGCAGTGCGCGTCCACGACCTCGCCTTGCTTGGTTCGAATCCAGGACCTATCAGTCTTGCGCCAGGCGCTTAACTAACTAAACCACTGACCCGGCATCCAGTGGTATTAATGTCTAACTTCAACTAGTCCACGAAATTGAGCGACACATTCACTAATGTCTTCAGTGAGCTACTATCTCACAACAGACTTGGTTGAACTTCACTGGTCACTACTTCTCACTAGAACTCCAGGTTATACCTCTTGATGTATTTTTATTGCTTCTTACCTTAATTTATGATATAATTAGGTTATAATCTAATTTGATTACTTCAAAAGTTATTTGATACATTAATTAATTTTTTACATTATATTGAATGATGCTGTCATATCATGTTCTGATTCCAAATACCAATGTAGGATTTCCAAACAAAGTAAACACAATATAGTTACCTAGATAGTCAACTCTATGATAGGCTAGATAATAAATAATTTTACACTGTTAAAAGACTTCCAGTGAAAATATATTTCACATATGATTTCTGTTTAACATAGCTTAGTTGTCAATTGGATTTAGACCATGTTATATCGTAAACTAAGTATCATTATTTCGGGCCTCATTTGAAGTTTAACGTTCTGACTTTTATAAAACTGTTGATTCATAAATGATAATGTTATAACTTGTGACCTGTGTGCCCTGTTAATGACAACGTAATGATACTGCCAATTAGAGAGCAGTGAATTACTGATCGGACCTATGACGCATAAAACACGTACTAGCAGTCTAGAGCACTTATTGGTCCTGCCTCCTGCCTAGTCCATCCAGTTAAGTCCAGAACACCAATCTCAGCCTCTGCAAGATGAATCATTTATTTCAAGCATACTGGGTTTATATACCAACCAGACAGACTACACCGTAGCATAAAATAGAAAATAACATTTGTACAAGAATTAGCCAAATGTAGCTGTGAATGTGGGAGGTAGTAATTAATAGATAGGGCATACTTCAAGAATGGTAAATCGTATAATAATAGTTCATCGGTCAAAATAAAGCTCATAATAAGAGGGACATGAATATGTAGTTTAGTTATTTAATAATTATATGATAAAAATATACGCATAAACGGATCCCAAAAGCTACCATTCATTAGGCTTATCGGGACATAACAGATAAACAGCTTTAAACTAGAATCGTTTGCATTGATTAAACTTTATTTATTATAACAAAACACTGTAACTAGTAATAAGATGAATAGAAAATGAAAAAAGAAATATTAGTTACTATCTGATTTTTATATATATTCATGATTAACTGTTTGTTATCTTATTCGTCACATTAACATTTTGTTGAATCAGTTTATTTTACGTTATGTCACTTGTATGCTTGTTAGTATGTATGTGGAATAAATTCGAAAAGATTTTGAGTAGTTTATGTAAACAACAGTCAGTTCTAAAGATAAATCATTCTATTCAAGTTGATTTAAAGTTTCTCTACTGAATAGCTGAATATCATGCTAATATCTTATTCTACATAAATTATATTGGAATTATGTGCTATTTAGATCATCGAACTAGTGAGATTATGGATTAGATTATGTTACTAATAAGGTTTAATATACTACTTTTTAAATAACCAATATAGTAAAACCTTATCTATTATTATTATTATTATTATTATTATTATTTGGGAAAATTTTATTTAAATCTTAATCACTGAGATTATTTGAAAAATAATTTTCCTGGAAAATATCTTCTATATACTGGGCACCAAATTTCTGTCAAGCTATACATTCAAATATTGACGAACATTTATATAAGACATATACATCTACCATCCATGTTTACTTTTCAATGCTTATTGAAAATCACTCTCGTTAGAATAGTTTCATCATCAATTCAGGCATTTAATTGCAACAAACAGCGTGAAGCCTATTGTCAACTTTTTTTCAAACTAATTCATTTTTGTATCGTTTGTATGAATCTTTCTATTGATGTTTAGTATTGCAATTGATCAGTCAACTCTAGAATGCAGGTACATCCAGCAAAAGAATCACAAAGAGGACGAAACGAGAGTCCTGGGTTCTACTGCTAGCCACTATCAATCTCTGCTTATATTGCTTGTGACTTAGGGTAATATCTAAGCAATCCGCACAGAATGCACATATGCCGATAAGAGACTGATCAATTTTCAGTCCTTAACATCAATGTGAAATTCCAAACAAACAATACAAAAATGGATTGGAATATCACCCCATAGCGCAAGAAATTGGCTATCAGGGCTAAGTAGCTAAGTGAATAAAGCGAACGGTACGGGGTTAGAATCTTGGAGTGAACATTAACTCGTAGATGCAGGCAAATCCGGCTGAAGAGTCTCAAATAAGACGAAACGTGCGTTTTTGATTCTGCTGCTAGCCATCATCCATCTTCGCTTATAATTCTTTCAACCTAGTTTTAAGACTCACTGAATTTTATTCGAGTTATTTTTCAAACAAAGTCATGTTACAATTTAGCAAAGATAGTGTAAAATTTAATATAAATGAAATTTTAACAAAGGATCATCTGTCTGTATTACATTAACACGATTTCATTGTGAAACTTAATTCTCAGATTGAAGAACATTTTTTCTAAAAATTAAAAGTAAAATTTAACAAAAACTCACTTTCACTGTATCAATTCCTTTGGTTACCGACCAAGATGATGTAATATAATCAATAACACGTTCACCTAACTCTCTTGGAACTTCATGAATTTTTAAGAAATCTTTAACCCCTTTCATCATTTCATTATATCTTGTACGTGTTGCATACATTTGTTGAACAATAGTTGTTACATTTCCGAATATAGTAGCATAAACTAAAGCTGTCATTAAGATAAAAATGTGATTAAATTTATTTGAGTTAAATAATTTTAAAAAATGTTGTGTTTTTTATATTGTAGATACGGTAATCAAATTAGCTGCATAGTCAAAGGATTCACTTTAAAGTAATAATATCAGAGAAGGAAGACCAACTGGTTGGACTCAATGGGCTAAAAAATAACTCAAAGAGTTTTTAAGAAAGATTATTAGAAGTGAACGGAAAACTAAATTACAGTGTTTACCATGAGACTGAAAGAACGCCATGGTCATCCTATAACGTAGAGAAACATCGGAATAAATTAAAAGAATTCTAAACAAACATAATATAAGCGTGCATTTTCGGGATAATGACACCATAAGATCAGCGTTAATGGAAGTTAAGGTAGGTTTCCAAAATAGGAACAACAGAATATTGTCCATGAGATCAACTATGATGATTGTAATGCAGCTTATGTGGGACAAACTTCAAGACAATTGTGTATGAGGTTGAAAGAACATAAACACAATGAAACTTGAGAATAGGTTGATGGTAGCGTTACATGCTTTAGAAACAGGAGTCTTGGTAAATTTTGAAGGAACGAAATTACTTCAAAAAGGTTTTAGCATTCATTAAGATTGACTTCAGAAGTGCTGTATACATGGGATAATAAAAACATTCTGAACAGGAAAGATGGCATACATGGACAAATAATTGATCTTTATTTTTATCCAATCTGTTTATTTCACATGCATCGTTATTCTGACAGAAATTAATCTAGAATATTTTGGCAATACAATTATATATTTGGTGGTTCTCATTTTACATGCACATTGACGATTCAAAAACAATTTCAACCGTCAAATTGCACACTTATTTACCTCACATATGCATATACACACTCACTATCATTCATTACTTTATCTTCACATTATGAACTTTGCACATGATTTTTATAAAACTGACTCATGTTTATCCTACTTACTGAAGTCAACAGTTGAATCTGATTAGATAAGCACAGTATAGACGTCATAGTAACAAATTAAATATTCTTGGATCATTTTGATTATCACCCTGAAGAAGTCCAGATAAGTTCGCTAAACGAAACATTGAAGTTATTTAGATTTCAATTGCTGAGATTAGTTAAAATACAATCTGAATTAAAATCTTGTTTTCTACTCTATGAGGACCGTATTTTCCTTTATACCCTTAAAGGTCACTATTCTAAATTTTATTTTAGCATTCAAATCACTGAACTGGCATTCAATGGTTTACATATTTAACTTTAGTCAATTCATAATATCGCACAACGTTTTTCATTGCAATCGTTTTAACAATCTACTAATGTACTTGCTATTGCGGAGCAGGTTATGTGGGTCATACAAAGCAGTACCTTGTTTGGTTATCTGAAGAGGAATACAAATTGATTAACAGCCTAGTTCTTGAACAAAAGATTAATTCTGGTTACACCCTACTGAATGAATCTTTATTCAAAATCCTTAACAAGTTAAAAAGGATTGACTCTAAAATGGTTCGAGTGAGGAATTCGTACACAGACGAGGGTATAGTAATTCACCATTTCAAATCTGAACTCTGTGGATGAGACAGTCATGCTGAACCCCTTATTTTCCCACGGTCTTAGTACCCCCTTGAATTTTGCAAATTATTTTGCTAATTAATATCTTCCTCTTCTCCTTCTTAATTAGGTAGACAGTTATCTTTATCTTTTATTTTATAGATTACTATCTCTTATATACTTCTAAAACTACTACATAACGTAACCTCCTTATAATTTTCGATTACTTTGCTAAATGATTGACCCACTTTTTTGTTCAATACTGCAAAACTTTGATTACACTGAAAGAACAGCCTTCTATTTATAAATCATCATACGTAATAATTAAAAAATGTTTTGATAATCTTGACTATTTTATGCAACATTAATTTATTTTCATTGACTTCTCCTTGAATACATTTGGCTATCTTTGATAGTTTTGTAAAACCCTCTATTATCTCATAGAATACAACATGTATAAACTGCCTATAAGTATGATTGAAATGTTTCCAAAAAAATGTTTCTTTGCTGAAATATCTTCATTTTTCCCTCAACAAATAATATTTCGGTAGAACAATGAGAAGATGGAGTTGATTTGAATAATGTGATGTATTTGCGCTATACATTTCGAACAATCTGGTCACACATATACTTGTCAGGGCATTTTGTATGAAAATTAATAAAGGTCAATTAAATGAAAGTTCAGGTAAAAAGTAACAAAGGGGAAGGAAACAATTTTACATCGTATAGAAAGAATAAGAAATTATCGCGTTATCCTAGGCCATAGAATGACTTAAGGAATACCAAGTTAAATTCAAAATCACGACAAATTGTTTTTATATACATAGCCAAGCCTTCAATAAAATTATGAATTCGTCTTTGACAGTTTCTATAAAACGTTTTAAAAACTGTATTCATGTCAATTTTGTGCCCCATTTCAATTAATATTTTCAAGATAAGGATAATTTTTGCTGAATTGCTTTTCTAAGAGAAAGAAATTCTATCTAAATTTCAACTATAATGATAAACTATAATAAACTAAAGATATGACTAAGTGAAATGACTCAGATATGACTCAGTGGTCTAGTTGGTTAAGCGCCTGGTGCGAGACTGATAGGTCGTGGGTTCGAATCTCGCTAAGCGTGGTCGTGGATGCGCACTGCTGAGGAGTCCCACAATAGGACGAAACGGCCTTCCAGTGCTTCCAGGTTTTCCATGGCGATCTAGCTTCAACTGACCCCTTCTGATACTAAAGATATGAACAATATCACTCAACTAAGGAATAATATAAATGAACTATCTAATGTTTTCTTGAATAATCTTTGACATTGAAAATAAAAGTTTTAATTTAGGGTTAAAATTAATCATTACAAAGTTGCGTAATCGATTAATGAACTCTTATAATTTCGACTCTATTACAATAATCCATCATAAAAAAAGATCAACTATTAAAAAAGAATCAAAATCATTCATATTCAATAGATCAATTTATCATTAATTCACTTACCACCTATAAGCATACAACATATGGATAATAATTTTTCACTTTCTGTAAAAGCTGCTACATTCCCAAATCCAATTGTAGTAAGTAATGATAAACTAAAATATAATGCTGTTATATAAGCAGTCCATTTTTCTCTAGAATTTTGTAATGGTAAATTTAATGTTGATATATGATGATAAATATTATTATTTTGTTTATATTCTTGTTGATCTAAATTTATAGTTATCAGTGTATCATTTTGTAATGTTTTATTTACACAAATTTTATTGATTGAACAATTGGTAATATTGATTGATTGATAAAATTGATTTTTCGATTTCATTGATGATGATAATGATGTTGTTGCTGAGGATGAGGATGTTCTAGGTGTAGATGGTATTGATTGTGAATTAGTATTAATTAATGCAAAATTCATTAATGAATTATGTACATTTGTAATATGTTGACTTAATAATTGTGTTTTATTTAAATTTAACATTGATACTGTTAAACTATTATCATATAATGTAAATTCTTCCCAATTTTGTGGTTTTAATGAATCATTATAAATTCTTGGTATCCAACCATAATAAATTTTATTTTCTATATCAAATATACCAACAGCATACCATGCACAAGCAAACCAATGTGCTAATAGAAAAAAGCATAAAATCATTAATAATAATAAAGTGGATACATATTCTAAATATTGATCAATTCGTCTAGCTGCACGTCCTATACGTAATAATCGAATTATACGTAATGCATCCATCAGATAATAAACTTCCTATAAATGAAGATTATAAAATGGATTGTATGTTCTCTTTTTCAAATAGAAGAAAGAAATAAACTAAATATTCAGTAAAACGTTGTTAAAAGTATATAATTCATACAAATTGGGTGATAGAAGATGAAATCTTCAGTAAACCATTATTGTACTGTAAATAATTTACTCTACAAAAAGTAGCTTCCTGAATCATTTCCAATTTCTGGTAAATAAAAAAAAGTACGAATCGAGCCAAGAAATTTCTTTTCAATTAGTTTTGTCATCATGGCTCTATATTAATATTCATGATTTACAAAAATGAAATAATACTCGTCGAGTGGATACGTTACGTAATAATTATATGATGACATATTGATTATAAATTAACATTGAGTAACTGGAAGAAAGAGGAATAATAATAATCAAAGTAATTAATATCAGATGGGTTTTGTGGACATTATAGTAATTTGAATGGTTAAGATCATGAGTGAATCGGAGCTAGATCACCATGGAAAACGTGGAAGCACTGGACGGCCGCTTCGTCCTATTGTGGGACTCCTCCACCACCTCGCCCCCTGCGAGATTACTATAATATCTACAAAACCCATCTGATATTAATCAACATATGCTCACTAATGACTGACTTCAAAAGGTATATCCTGGAGTTCTAGCGAGAAGCAGTGATCAGTGGAGCTCAACCGGGTCAGTTGTGAGATAGTAACTCACTGATGACAATGGTGGATGTGTCGCTCAATTTCGTGGATTAGTTGAAGTTAAATATTAAAACTGCGAGGCGAGGTAGTGGATGAGCACTGCTGAGGAGTACCATACTAGGACGAAACGGCCTTTCAGTGCTTCCAGGTTTTCCATAGTGGTCTAGCTTCAATTGACTCATGATCTCAACTGCTGATCATGAAGTAACGAAATTTGATCCGTTTTTAATTTAGGATATCTCTATAAGATCTTATAAAATATTTTACTCTTCATTTAAGAAAAGAATTAAATTTGATAAATTTATTTATTGATCTACATTAGAAAATACCCTAAATTCACTTGACTGTCATAAATCGTATGATGAAAGTATAAATTATTTTAATACTTAGTTTATAAGTGAAGATACGACCAATATTTATAGGAAAAAAGAGAAAAGGAATTATTTCCCAAAAAGAAAGATGAATTTTTCTACCTAAATAATTGGAGATTTTAAAACTTTCTCTTTATACCTAAATAAAAAAAAATAGTTCAATATAATTTAAAACTAGTTAGAGAGAAGCGAAATTATTGATTTAATGACGAAAATTCATTTACTGTAGAGGAGGATTATCAGTTCTTGTTTTTTTTCTTTTTCTTTGTTTTAACATTTATCAAATCTTAACAGTTATGCTAAGCATTATTGTTTACTAACATTTATCAAAAGGGCTTTTTCTTGATATGATAGTAATTTCAATAGTTGAGATCATGAGTCAGTTGAAGCTAGATCACCATGGAAAACTTGGAAGCACTGGACGGCCATTTCCTTTTTTTTTGCTAGGTCCAGGGTTCAAATCCCTCGAGGCGGGATCGTGAATGCTCAGTGCTGAGAAGTCCTACAATAGGACGAAACGGCCGTCCAATGGTTCCAGGTTATCCATGGTGGTCTAGCTTCAATTGATTCATGATCTCGACTATTTATCAGAAATGTTTATTCGGAAATATGTGAATTGTGGTTGAATGCACAATATTAGAAAAAAACGAACAAAGAATTTAGATGAAGAATTTGAATATTTCTGTGTACAAGTATAATGTTTGAGTAATACTACAGAGACGCTAAACACAATTATAATTTTGCGTTCGGAAAGAATAGACTGAATTGAGAATAGATAATTTCTATTCTGAAAAACATGATTTTTCATTATCTTAGAAATTTTGTTAAAATTGTTTATCAACACCGATTGATTTTAATAAAACTACAATGAAAATTACAACCCCTCCGTTTTCGTTGTGATTTCGTTTAGACAGTTAAACTTCTTGAATGTCTTAATCCATAACAAAAAATATACTATAGAGTATACATTCGATGTTTGAAGAAGAATAGGTAGTAAGCTACAATTTAACATTCCTAAGACCTGTTGAGGATACTACACACTGTGGTAATTATAAGTATAAGCTTTCTTAATCATATCAAACCAGTTTTCTAGTTTTATAGACTACTTCTCTAGAGTAAATGTTTTTCTTTACTCTCTTGAAATAAGGTCTGATCATGTTGAATAAGCATAAATTCTATTAAAACATGATTTTGAGTATGCTTCTCATTGTTGTTAACAACATAGAAATTAGTTATCTGTAACAGGAAATTGTGAGTGATTGTGTCTGGTAACTCAAATAATTTTCTTGAAATGAACTTAACAAATTCAAACCTATGATATTATACATACTAGCAAAGATATTAGATAATATGATGTAAATAATAAATTACTATGACTCACAGTGTTATCTACAGGCCAACAATATTTTAAAATCTCATATGGAAGACAAGCCAATAAATCTAATGTAAACCAACCGCTCAAATAATTCATTCGAATAACTGGAGGATCAGCAACCACCTCACCACCGGCTCCAACAAAAGATGTATGAAAATTCAATACAATATCTACACCGAAAATAATATCAATGATCGCATCCATTATAGTTAACAGCTCTAATGTTGTTGGATGGATCCATTCTTTTTGATTATTTGTCCGTACAGTTAAAGATTCAGAGGAAGGAATCCATGCTGGTCGAGGAATAACTGCAACTCTTAATGGTACAATGATAGCTGTGTAACCAGTGAGCAATAAGATTGTCCAATCCCATACAATTCGAAATACTGAATAATGTAAAAGTACATGTTTAGGTGGACATGGTGGTTCTGGACGATAACGTGGAACTGATTCAGGAGCTGACCATTGATTACTAAAAAGATCATCTACATCCCCATTTATATTTGTACCCTAAAATAACAATAAAACATTTGAATCAAATCAGTAAGTTCAAATGTTTTTTTTCTAAACTGATTATTTAAGAGATATCAGTTGAAAACTGTTATGTATGAGTAAATGTACTTTTGAAACTTGCATCCGTAAAATTTATTATACAATTTATTTGTAAACATTTAGAATTATAATATGTCTAAAATCTATGATAAAAAATTATTGTTCGGTTTTTCAGTTTTTCAGTACAAGGTAAATCCAGCTGACGAGTCCCAAATAGGAAGAGACGCGCGTCCTGGATTCTACTGCTAGCCACTATCCATCTTTGCTTAAAAATCTTGTGACTTAAGGCAATCCGCACACGATGCACATATGCCAACGAGAGACTGATCATTTACAGTCCTAAACAACAATGGAAATATACAAACAGACAATATCAAGTGAATTATATTTTATGTATCATTTTTTACCAAACATTTTAATATCATTTTGAAAACACTTACTTTCTTAATCTAATCCCTTTTACTTTATAATAACATACATCCGACTTATTTTGTAGAACATGTAAATAAATATCGAGTACTTCAACAAATAAAACTAGCAACAAAATCAATATATATAGTTATATCGTCATTACGAACAGACACAAATGCCCTGGTATGGCCGAGAGTAAGGTGGGCCCTTCCTCCCCCTCGAAATACTCTCACACGGCCACGCGTATACAGCCTCTGCCAGGGAAATCCTACTCACTGCTTTCTCGTGTTTCTTACGAAAATGAGAGGACGAAAAGCGAATGTCCGGCGCTTTAACCGGATCCCAAACCAATGGTGCACATAGGCTCCAGTATCCTGAGGGGACAAATGGAGTATGAACCAATCGCTGGTCACCGGCTACCATAGGACTACATCTCCTCTAGATGCTCCACTGCCTTGTGGGTTAGACCTTTAGGTCAAAGGCTCGGGGTATGGCTCCCGTAAGAAAACCACCTGCTTCGGTCTGGGCACCCGGTCAGTATCACAGCCCACACACAAATATGATGAAATTTTGTGTGGCGCATTTATATTTGGTGCCCACTTGTACCAATATTTATGTATTCAAATGACACAATAAAAGTATCCGTTTAGAAAATTTACCAAAATTATTATTATTATTATCATTTAACTTACTTTGATATTTCCAAGCTTCTTTGAATTCAATATGGTATTGTTCGATTGTTTATTTATTCTTTTTTTAAATATATTATATTTATGCTTTTTTGATTTAATTTCTAAATTATATAAATTTAATTCACCAGTTTCTAATTTATTTAATGATTTCACATAACTACTACTAATTATATTTGATGGTAAATTATTAATATTATCTGATGTTGAAAAATGATGACAAGATTTAGTTGATTTACGTTGATTCCGTTGTGTTAATGGAATAATCAATTCAATTTCATCGTTTGTATTACTATTACTATTACTATTATTATTATTGTTATTATTAGTGGTGAACTCATTTGTGTTGTTTACATTTTTATCAGATCCAAAGAATTGTTGATGTTGTTGCTTTTCAGTGGATTTTGATTGAACACATTGAATTGTTTCATTCTCAATATTTAATTGTGGAGAATCTATTTGTTCTGGATTACCTGTAATTGAATCTTCAGCTTTCTGTCTTACCATAGCAAATACAAGACGTGCAAATTTTCCCCAACCTTAACATAAATGAATGTAAAATGAAATCTAATTAGATTTTATTTTCTAAAATATTTAGTGTTAAGTTCAAAAGATTATTAAACCAAAGAAATTGAAAGATACCTAAGATGACCTTGATAGATTCACATCTCTCATTTATGAATGTGCAGACATATGAGTAATATTTCGAAATCACTTGGAAAAATCTAGAAAACTTGAAACCTATCCATCCTGTTTACTAGGTTTATGAATATTTTGAGGTTTCATAATTTTTTTATCAGCCTTATAATTAGGTTTGGTTAATACATACACTTGTCGATTGAATGTTATAGCGATTTAAGTACTTTCTTAGAAGACAGCAGATGAATTTCAAGTCATTTTAGTACATACATTAATTCAAATAATCAGTGCTGATCTTGCCCATATTTATCTTAATATCTGTGAGCTCAAAATGAATTCATGTTATAGTGTATCACTAATTGATAATTAATTTTTTAGGACCAAATTGAAACGCGTCACAGTGATATTCATTAAGAACATATTTCGAATTGCAACTCATAAACATATCACATCAATCTGCATTTGCGCAGTATTTATTGTTTCTTTTACACAATGACATAACATATTCGTTTTCACCACTATAATTTATGTTATATACTGTGTGATGTATCATCCTATGAATTATTTGTTAAGTCGTTTTAAACCTAAAAGTTGGCACAGTATTTTATAACTTCATTATAAAAAAACATTTGTTAGATAAACAGTCAAAACTGAGATGTTTGTCAATCATACATGTGGGGTTTTTGGAGATTGTATTGACTTAGTAGTTGGATCCATGAGTCGATTCAATCTAGACACACATGGAAAACGTGGAAGAAGTGGACGGGCGTTTTGCCCTTGTATGAGACTCTTTAGCAGTGCGTATCCACGATCCCGCACACGAGACTCTTGTTGTGAGGCAGTTACTAACCGAAGACAATGGTGAACAGTCGTGCAATATCATGGATTGGTGGGAGCTATACATTAACACCGCTGGATTCCAGATCAGTGGTTTACAGGTTAAGCAGTCGTGCGCAAGACCTAAAGTCCTGTATCCGGATCTGACGTCCGGGATTGTGGATGTTCACTGCCGAGGACGAAACGGCCCTCAAGTGCTCCCAGGTTTTCCATGGTGGTCTAGCTTAAATCGAATCATGAATTAAACTATTAAATTATACATGTAAGAATTCATGTATAATCTATCTTAGACATGAGTCAGTGTAATTATGTATCGTTTAATACTGACGTGTGTGATACATAAACCTTTTAAAAAGTAAAATTTCTCTCAGTCATTGAAATTCCGCGTTGATAAGCACTAGCATACACCAAAATGCTATTCATTAATATTTTCATTCATCTTTTAAAAACCAACCATAGACTGTCTTCATAGGCATATTGTTCAAGGTATTAATTAATCAATATTCTACTCACTTCCAAAGTTGTTTAGTTTCAGTTTATTGAATTTTAAAATATACAGTACAGCATTTTGTAAAAACTGAATTATTTCATCAGGATTAGTTATGATATGAGACTATTATTCAGTAGAAATACTCAAATATAGCTCAAGGTAGTTGATCGATAAACGATCGCAAGACATTTAGTCTTATTTATGATGTAAATATTTTGGATTTCTTCGAAAAAACCAGCTTTTGGATAAAATAAACACAGACCTGTTACCACAACACATAACTCAGCATTTCAATATTTATTTACAAAATATTTCATAATATAACCTCATCATATTTTATTACGAGATACTGTACGAGAAAGACAGTTATGAATATTTGTTATCTCTCAAAATAACATGTTAAAACAGACATAATTGGTTTGATGCAAAAGACAGAAAGCAATAACTACTAGAGAGTAGTAATTAATTTTCATGTGAATATGTTTATGACAGTAAAGACAGGATCTCAAACGATACATAATATCCTTTTTTTAAATTTTAGTACAACAGTATTTTCAATGGCTGAGATCATGAGTGAAATGAAGCTAGACCACTATGGAAAATCTAGAAGCACTGGACGGCCGTTTCGTCCTGTTGTGGGGCTCCTTAGCAATGCGCATTCACAAGCTCGCCTCGCAAGATAGCAACTCCCTAAAGACATTGGTGAATGTGTCGCTCAACTTCGTGGATTGGTTGAAGTTAGACATTAGCACCGTTGGATGCCGGCTCAGTGGTCTTATTGGTTAAGCGCTCGCGCTCGAGACTGATAGGTCCTGGGTCCGAATCTAGCAAAGCAAGGTCGTAGATGCGCACTGCTGAGGGGTCCCACAATTGGACGAAAAGACCGTCCAGTGCTTCCAAGTTTTTCATGGTGGTCTAGCATCATTTCACTCATGATCTCAACCATGGAAATTACTACAATATCCACAAAAACCGTTCTCTGACAATAGTATGTACTTCGATGCACTATTTGTTCAACTCGTGTAATGGATAGTGCCACTAAAACTAATGGAAACCGTTATTCTGATTAATTTATCGGGGACCAATTAAATGTAAGCACTCCAAGTCATATTTTAACTAAATTATCTGTCAGACATCAATGTCAACTAGCAGATGTTTCAATAACGCGCTCACTTTTAAATAAGTTTTAATCTTAAGAATCATAGCCATACTAAATAAATTATCTTTCATACTTATCACTAAATCATATTGCTCTTCGTCATTTTCTGATTTCGAAGTAAATATTTAGAACATATCAATAACAGAAAGGGTACTTGTCTAATATATGCACCGGAATGCTTTATAATCAATAGAGTAGAAAACAATGTTTTTAGAAGTTTACCTGTATCAATCAGGATATCGTGTAATACCCTGAATCATAGTTTACTTCTAAGTTGTGTATAATGAATATCAGAAGCTTCGATTAGTTTGAATGATATTATTATCAATGGATTTATAAACGGTTCAGCCCTGAATCTCAAAGCGAAAGTCATTTAAAAAAACTTAAGCTATACTGGAATAAACTAGGCTACTGGTAGTGGTCAGTCTTCTGATGAACCTTAGCAATAACTGACATCCACTTCTGGTCATAGCAGGTGCATACTCTAACAGGACATAGTAACGTCCAAAACTTAGTTTTCTGTAGAGATGATATTGCGCTATCTGTAAAAAAGAACTAAGGATTTGACAGCAATCACCATATAATAGTTTTCGGTGATCTTCCCGTTACTGTTTGCTCATGTGATAGCGTTTACATAGAAAAAACTAATCAATATAAGGGATACAAGCATGTAGACTGTGGCTTACTACATACACGCTCGTGATGGTCAAACTGGAATGACTTATTCTTGTTCAGTAACCTCGTAGAAGCACTAGTTATATTTTGTCAAATCACTAGCTTGTGCTTATATTTTTTTGCACCTCTCAAAACATACAGGAATATTAAGTGTAACAAATTATTTATACGAGTAAAATAAAATGATTAGTTAAGGCGCTTGTTTAAATATTAATGCAAGCTAAACTTTTTGACGGCAGTTGCTCAGATAACTATAATTTCTGATTAAATTAAAGAAACGTAGAAGCCAAAACCTATTAAAAAGGAGTTCCTATCATTTAATAATAGCTCAAGTGTCCAAACTTAATTCTTCTTTACAAAAAATGTGTAAGTTCATCACATTATCCTGACATCCCCTTCATTTTGTATAATAGCACATTTATAAATGACTCTTAAACCATCGCAAACCTTTTCAGGAGTATTTTCTTGTACAATAGTAATCTGCCAAATAACATATGTTCGGGAACCACTTACACTACTATATATATTCTTTCTTTTATCACAAAATTAATAAAACTATGACCTCCCTTGAGATCTCAAGCAGTCATGGAGTAGACGGGATATGACCTACTTCGAAAATTATCGCTACATAAATATTATACACTTGTTTTTAGGGTGATTGAAAAAGTTGTTTGTAACGAAATTTTTAACTATTTATTGATTGAAAAGCTTATCATTAGCTTGCAACATGACTTACCTAAAACTAGATCTTCTATGATATGTCTGATTGACTTGCATATAATCTGTATGCAAAGTAGCCTGATGAATGTAGTTACAGAGCTATACCTCGAGGTTTCTAAAACTTCTGGCATGGTTATTCATCGGCTTCTTATGTTCAGACTCATATCTTACAGAACTAGATACTGCCTATTTGCCTGACCCAATTCTTTTTTCAGTCACAGGAACCAAACAGTTAAAATGAAGTCCTACTTTTCAGATGATATTACGATTACAATTGAGATAATATAAGGTAATGTATTCGCACCTTGCTCCTTTAAATTTATAAAAATGATGCCTGGAATTGTTTTGGTAAGGACAAATCTTTTCTGTATGCAGCTGATCTTAAAGCAGTATATATATATATATATATATATATATATATATATATATATATATATATATATATAATCTCCTTACAAAATTAAAGCATATTCAAAACTGTGTAACTATGTAACTCAATAAGGGTGTCATGTGCTGCTGGAAATGGAAGCTGGAGCTTGGCACTGCTAGTTACAGACGGAGTCGCTCAATTTTGAACTAACCTAAAAACAGTAGGGTGTTTTCTAGGTTTAGAAGAGTGTTAAAGTTAGAACTATCACAGGTCGTCGTTCACAGAACAGGTTTCGACATAGACTTCTAGGTCTCAACGACTCATGGGTGGTATACTACGTAACCTTCAGAACAATGGCTCACGCATTTAAATGCATGAAGTATCTGGTCGACCATTTCTAGAACATTACACTTTTATTTTAAGTAACTTTCGCCTAAAGGATTAACCTCATTCGTAATTTATTGAACGGCGATTCACAATTCACATTCCTGGGAATGGTTGTACCTTAACTACAAATCCATATGCATTGACCTTGAACTTACCTCTTTGTGAAAGTGAAGATTTGAAACAAATTTAACATTGTTCTTTAAAATAATAATAATATCCAATGTTCCAATCCAATATGCAGAAACACCTAGTGACATTACTTGTAACTCTATGGAGACAGTCACAATGTTTCATTATAATACTACTCTTTTTATGAATCACATGGCAAATAGATTTTTGAAACTATATTAATTAAGAACAATCTATTCGCGAAATAAAATTGCTACCATCAGTTGTTCACTACATTTACGGCTACATATACTGTGAAACTGCTCTAATATTACTTGCACCTACGAATACATGTTATTCCATTAGTAAAATTAGAAAGATATTAAATGTCGAATCATTCTTCTATACCGAACTTACTTATTAATCTTACCTATTCTTAGCTATTTTAAACCCTAATCATCCTTGATTAATTTAATTAATTTAAACAAAATTAATCCGAGTCAATAGATCGTAAAGCAACTTAACGCTAGTCTAACAATCAAACTATTACAGTAATTTTTGTTGCTATCGTTGTGTATTTTGCCCTCAGTTTTTTCTCAACTTGTAGATGACTATAATTACTTTGTAATGGCACCAAAAATAACCCTTTTTATGCATAAACAGGAAGAATTAATGGTCTCTAACTTCTACGTCACATCGTTGTAATCCTGGTGAACAATGTCCACTCAAAACCATTAGTGAATCTTATTTAAAACAATTTAACCTTATATCTTATCCCCTTACGTGTAACATTGTTGTCTAAATCAACCTGATCGTACATGTAAATTGACAGGAATTCTGTAGTTATTTCCAGAACAAATATAAATATACATATAATGATTATTAGCGTTGCTCTTTTCAGATAAGATTATAGTTTACGAAACTGTTGGTTTATTGAGTTCCAACAACTGCCTTTTGCAGAACCGTATATGGATGAGCTAACAAGTTTTCATCATAAACGATCACGTTGATTACGTCTTTGTTGTTTCTGTCAATTTATCGGAAATTCTGGGTCCTGGATATAAAAAATACGGACACATATCAAAATGATCGATCTTTAACGATAGTGTAGTTTTTGATCCTTAAAATATTTTTAGAACAAACGATTGTGATCTTAAAGTTCAAAGAATTCTCCGATGTTTAGACGAAGATCTGGTTGTATGAAATATGTAATGAAATTATTTAGAATAGGTGATCGATTTCCCATTACTATGGCATACGTTACTTAGTAAGGTTAATAGCCATCTAAAATGATCCTCATTTATCCAAAAAATATCACATTCTATTGTGAGAACTTGGCTTAGCTACCACATTTTACACATGAACTTTATCAGTGACACAAATAAAATTTTATGATTGGTTAATGTCTAGCTACAGCCGTATGAAACATTTTCTTACTAAGTTCAATAGGTTCTTCAAACTGATAAAATTGTGTAATTAAACATGATACTACTAAACTTACTACTTCCGGCATCACTTGCAGCTGCAAATGCTCCTAATGCTGATGTTTGAGCAGATTCTTCTTTCAATGGTTGACGAAATGCCGTTAAATCTCTGAATGTAATTAGAAATAACACCACCAAATCTTCGTCATTACGAATTGGAATTATTTCAACCAAAATGCATAATGGAGTCACTTGAAGAATAATAAAAATGACAACAAATAAGATTAATTTATATATATATGTTTTGTGAAACAATTATTGCATATTATCTCTATTTATTTTGGTCATATTTGCTTCATTTATTCTTTGTAAAAGTGTGATACAATTAATGCTCAAGAAGTTGATGCTAGGGCCTCACTATATGATTTGATTATTCTAATCATTTAAGAAAGTAAGGATAGTTTGTTTGATCCAATATAAAAGCCATAGAAGTTCATTAAGTACTATTCATCCTTTGTTTCAGGTTGTTGAAATCCCTAAATCACGAGATCTTACATGAATTAAAGAACTCTTTTTTAGTATAAATAATATTCAAATATAAATTATCTGACATATTATATTTATGGGCCGCAAACGAATCATTAAACTTAGATAACATGTGATCAGTCAGGTACATACTACGATGTGTTCACCATAAAGTAGTTGATTGTTCGGATTAAACAATAGTGATTAATGTCAGTATATTTGATTTAAGATGTTTCCCCTTACTTAACAGTGTTTAATTAATGTTATGATACCATATTAGCATTTCAACTTTACTTGTCGTACGTTATTGTAGACTAAAATGCATTTAACATATATTTATAAATGCACTGCTAAGGAGTCGCGCTATAGGATGAAACGGCCGTTCAGTGCTTCCAGGTTTTCCATGATGGTCTAGTTTCAACTGACTCGTGATCTCAATTATTAAAATCACTATCATATCCACAAAAAACCTTTCTGATCTTTATAAATGATTTCAAAAAAATTATTGAGATAAAAAAACAACTGGCATGCTATTACTTCAGTGGGATTAGACTAGGGTCTTTTTATTTCAAAAATCAAATAATATTGAAGATATGGACCAATTTGTGTTGACTCAGTGGTTGAATAATATGATACTTTATGCAAAATTGAAAGATCCTGCTTTATTCTCCAGTGATATGATGAGTTTTCACAATTGAGGTATTTTGAAAACGCATCAGATAATAAAGAACTATTAGTATCAAACTATCTGATTTGTAACATTTTGTTGCTTGGTATCAGTTAGTAGATTAAAACTACCTTGAAATGAGTTATATATATACTGTATTCGTACGTTACAGAACTTGGTCTGATATGATAATTAGCCAGCTTTAAAAATTAACCAGTAGAATAAAATGTCTTGGTCTAAATTATTCTCATTTACACTACATGTATATTAAGGAAAATAATTAACTGAAGGGTTTAACTAATCATAAATTTGTGGGACTCAGTGTATTTCATGAATAGTCTCTCATAAAATTCAAAGTTCTAATCTCCGTGTTTATGCAAATACGTATTAACAGAACATTACATATTGTTTTAACCGAAGTATATAAGCCAAACAGAATTTATTTTTTACATTCAATTATAATGCACATACTGTTTTGTATAGACTTACAATTCTTTTTGTATAAAATTACTTCAACATGTTCGGATTTTTGTTCTTTAAATGCATTTTCTAGTGTCGTTATAATTGACTTATCTGTTTGTGGTCCGTGAAGAAATGGACATAGACCAGGTTTTTGCATTACTTCAATACGACCAAATTCAGTGAGATTTGTAAATCCATTACTAACATATACAATCGGAAAGTCTAATATACGTGCATTAGTGAGCAGAAAACAGGAATCTATGGGAGAAAAAAAAGTAGAAAGAAGTTGGAGATTTTTTGGTTTAATAATAAAGATATTGTTTCGCATTAAATTGAAAATAAAGTCAGATGAAGTAGAAGTCACGGAGTATTCAAATAATCATAAAAACGACACAGCTTTCGTAATTCTTTGGCTAATCAGAGATAAAATTAGATTGTTAGAAATAATACACAAAGCTGGATGACGCGGGATCGAATCCGTCAAGGAGCATCGGCTCCCTCAAGATTACGGGTACATCTTGCTGACGTGTGCCAAATAACACGAAACCCGGGCCCAAGGTTTCCCGCTGACTACCTTCAAATGCCATCTTATCTCAACAAATTGCAACTTGGTCGATAGCATCAGATCTGCACTAAGAAGGATCTGATACTTATGACATTGATCACCACCCAGTGATTAATCAATTGTGAGAAATCCTTTAAAATATGGAACGATTGGGTGATTTATCAACCAATCAGAAACAAAACAATATGGTCTTACTGAATTTTTGCTATTGGGAAAACTAAATATGCAAATTCTACATGAACCAGATACTTAATTTGCTGCCCGGAACAACACTGAAAGTTCTACAATTAAACAGTCAGGCTGAAAGAATTGATAGGGAAAGTGATAGTTCAATCAATGAAATGATATAAAAAGTTGATCTCATTCCGGTTGTATGTGACATGTATTCGCATCTTAATAAGGATTATAAATACTTAATGGTATGATACTGTAACTGTGTGTTCACACAGTATGGTATTGAATTATTATTATGATTAAACACAACTCAATTCAGTCTATACAAATCTGACAGTTAATTTAGTTGTAAATATATCATATAAAATGCAGTGTAATCCCACTCCATTTGATTTATTTTATCAGTCAAATAAATCCGGACCAACAAACTTCACATTTTTTCACTTGTGTTCAAGTTGACGTGTACATTAAGTCTGGGGTTATTACACGTGGCTCAGAAATTGAATAGAGTGTTCGCTTGGCAAAAATTATCAAGAACACAGCAAAGCCATAAGCATCTACCTGAATGACAAGATTTTGACGTCAATAAAAAGTTTAGAACGACTAAAAAATGACTACCTTTGTCATGGGGAAGAAACTACTATCCCGCATACTATATTATTTTATTTCTCGGCTGGACAGCATCAAGAACCTTCAAGAAGAAGCTTACATTTCCCGTTAACAAAATATTCTTTGGTTTGATTATATATTTCCTAGTTTTTAACCTGTTTGTGTAAATATATAATCGACCATGCAAGTAAACGAAAGTTAAGTGTAGCGGTGAGCAGAAGTTAATCAATATCACAATTTAACTTTCTGATAAATGACACGTAACTTCATAAATCAAAATTAGATTAACTTTTTATGTCACGGTCGTGAATAAGTAATTAGAAGTAGTTAGCATAAAACCCTGGACTTAATTTTCTTGATAGATAGTTTGCAATCTCGAGGGAACTGAGATTACATATGGGATACGGACTTGCTTTACCTAGCTCCACAGTCTGAAATGTTATTATTGAGTCATTTGAGCCTGGATTGACCTACTCCGGGTGTAAAATATTTACAATTAGTTGATCAAACAATGGTGAACAATGTCGTATTTGCCTAGTTCATTAGAGTTGACTCTCCAAATCTATTCTGAATATTGTTTTTTTTTTTGATCATTTAAGTAACTAAAGGATCATTACAACTATTTTAATGAAATTACATATCATTTTACGAGCTATATTTATGAGCTTTTCCCAATTACTTCATAACTGATTATGTTTATTTGTAAATATGAATATGCCCGAATAGAAATCGAACAAATGAATATATACTTGAAATGTATAGTATTTGATTCTTATCAATGGCAGAAAAATATAAGCAAAACAAAATAACTAAGCTTAATATCTGTACCATCAATTTAGCTGTTTGTTTGTTTTTTCTAGAAAAAATACATTCTTAAATCCACCTATAAACTAATACTGACATGAATGTAAATAAATGTAGCCATGACAACGGTAAACATTTATATATGTTGTGATATATCTGTACAAAATGCCGTGTAATGAATGAACTGCTCATTGTCTTTATTTGTTCATTTCAAAGTTTTTTTTATTCATCATCTTTGATTGTACTGGTTTTCATTCTTGAGAAAAAGAGCCTTTTTGTATTGCTTTTCAATATATTGAGTGAATATGTTTTAATGAAACAACCGATTACTTTTGTTTTAAACAAAACAAAATCTATTAATAGACATTGAATAGAAGTATGATTTCCGCCTTAACATATTATTGCCCGATGAATAGTATATATAATATTCTAACAATGTGGTGAGACCGGTACACAGGTATCCAAATACTGTTAACTAAACATCAACCTATCAGATTCTGGGCTTGGCTACTTTTTTTAGTATTTGTGATTATGTAAATTTCATATGAATCATTATATTCACATTGTGATTAACACAAACTCATCGCCGTATAAAACCACTCATCAAGACTCATAATTCACTGCTAAGAGTTCAATAACAAGGACGAATCAATTGATAAAATGCTTTGTGCTTTTAATTAAGTTTACAACTGATGATGAATCGCATTAAAAATTAATTTATATAGTTTTCGGGAATTTAAGCGACATTTTAATCAAGCTTATATATAGTTTCATTAACAGGATGCGATCATCTAGAACATTATATGTATATTAATAAGATCTAAAAAACTATTCCATCTTGAGTTGCTACTGGAGATTGATCTTTTGATTATTTATTAACTGACATATTAAACATTGCAAAAGTGGGCTGTGACTAAGTTACTAATTACAAACTAAACTTTCACCTAAATGAGTAGTATCCCAGATCCTAGGCTTTGTGTACATACCTCAAAAATTTAGTTCTGTATACAATACTCATAGGGTTCATTTGTAATTATTTCCAGTTGACTACCTATCATGTCTATATACTTATTTATTGTATTTATAATTATTAATAAAATGAAATCTAATCAGTTAATAATTAGCTGCTTATAAACATTTGTAAATTTATAGCTCTCATTATTGATTCATAAATTTTGCTCTTTTGAGTAGTATACTCATAAAATTGTCGATGGATCATATATTCATTACTGAAAGGGTTTCTTGTCGTTGTTTTTTGATCAATTACTAAAAATAGTCGTTTGGAAGTTAAAATAAATTACCTGGTGTTTTGTCAGTGGTATTGATTATGTAAAGCAAAAAAAAAATATTAAAAAATATATTAGTTCGGACATCAAGGCTACTATTGCAATTGAAACATCTTTTATAAATAATCATTTTAGTAACTAAGTAACCAAGAATATGGAAGTATTTCATTAATATTAACGTTTTATTTGTAGAAACTAAAAATAACATCACGTTTTAAACATTAGTAAGGCTTAGTTAAATAGAACAGGATATATTAAGCAAATGAACATTCAGTGAAAAGTTGATAATACCTTAAATATAGATTAGAATTATGGGGCGGAAACCTGGAGAACTACGAAAGCCATCATCCAGAAGATACAAGTGTTTATTAACAGTTGTCTACGCAAAATACTTCGGATCCGTTTGCCTGGACACTATTAGCAACAACCTACTATGGTAGAGAACAAACCAGATCCCAGTGGAGGAAGGAATCAGGAAAAAGCACTGGAATTGGATAGGACACATATTGAGGAAATCACCCGACTGTGTCACAAGACAAGCCCTCACATGGAATCCTCAAGCCCAAAGGAAAAGAGGAGGACCAAAGAACACATTACGCCGGGAAATGGAGTTAGAAATGAGAAAAATGAACAAGAATTGGATGGGACTAGAAAAAAAGGCCCAGGACAGAGTGGGTTGGAGAATGCTGGTCGGCGGCCTATGTTCCGTTAGGAGTAACAGGCATAAGTAAGTAAGTATAGATAAGAATTATATCTAGTATTTATGTATATAACTGTATGATTTAAGATTATGAGAAACTTATGTATAGATGGCATAAATTAAAACTTTTATTTTATTCATGCCTAAATATTGATATGAACAATATAATGAAATGTTGCTTTGACAACTATTTATTATTCAGTCAATCAATCATTTGAAACCAAAGATTGTTTAAATCGTTAAAATCTGTAATGAACGTTATATGCTTATCCTGTAAACAACTTTAAAATTGATAGATTCTCAGCATTAAATTTATTTAATTAGTACTATATATATATATATATATATATATATATATATATATATATATATGAATAAATATGAACCATTTCAATTAGCTAATTAAAACTAATTCATTTGTAAAGATTTAAATCTTCTCATTGTTGATGTTAATAATTGAATTTTGATCAATCAATTCTGGATTACGTTTGTTCTGGGTGGATTACCTTGATATTGTACCTAGACCACAAATATTGTAAATAAATATTTGAAATATGGCTAGCAAAGGAATTTCATGTTTCATTTTTAAAAAAGGAAATAATAATTCACCTTCATAGTTCACATCAGGAGTTCTTTAAACTAATTCATCAAGTAAATGATGAGTTGGGCGCTTGAACTGAAAAGAAGTGAGTTATGATTACCGTATGAGCAAGTAAATCTATCTGAAAATTCTCAATTAAGACTAGACTATAAAGTACTATGGAATTCGATTTAGTTAAAATTATATTGATAAAATGTGTTGTGTACTTCACAGCTAATACTCATTATATGATTACTCTTAATCAAGATAGTATGCAATCATAAAACATAACTCACGGCATAAAATGAGAAAAAACTCAGTTTACTATAATTTTAAAATATCGGCTGTTACAATACAGATGTTAAACAAAGTAATATAAAAATGAATGTGACTATGGATTGCGAACGATCAAATCTTTCAGAATATGTGTTCAATCTATACTTTGATAGCACTATCGTCTTCAACTTTTCTGAAAATTATATATAACCAATACGAATTTAGTTTATGGATAGTTCTCTTCACAAACTAGGATCTATAGAA